CATCCTTCAGTGATCCACCAATCAGAACATCCGTCAGTGATCCACCAGTCGGAACATCCATCAGTGATCCACCAATCGGAACATCCTTCAGTGATCTACCAATCGGAACATCCTTCAGTGATCTACCAATCAGAACATCCGTCAGTGATCCACCAATTGGAACATCCTTCAGTGATCCACCAATCGGATCATCCATCAGTGATCCACCAATCGGAACAACCTTCAGTGATCTACCAATCCGAACATCCTTCAGTGATCCACCAGTCAGAACATCCGTCAGTGATCCACCAATCGGAACATCCATCAGTGATCTACCAATCAGAACATCCTTCAGTGATCCACCAATGGGAGCATCCATCAGTGATCCACCAATCAGAACATCCATCAGTGATCCACCAATCGGAACATCCTTCAGTGATCTACCAATGGGAGCATGCATCAGTGATCCACCAGTCGGAACATCCGTCAGTGATCCACCAATTGGAACATCCTTCAGGGATCAACCAATCAGAACATCCATCAGTGATCTACCAATCGGAACATCCATCAGTGATCCACCAATGGGAGCATCTATCAGTGATCCACCAATCAGAACATCCGTCAGTGATCCACCAATCGGAACATCCTTCAGTGATCTACCAATCAGAACATCCATCAGTGATCCACCAATTGGAACATCCTTCAGTGATCCACCAATCGGAACAACCTTCAGTGATCTACCAATCCGAACATCCTTCAGTGATCCACCAGTCAGAACATCCGTCAGTGATCCACCAATGGGAGCATCCATCAGTGATCCACCAATTGGAACGTTGTCAGGAATAAACAGATTGAACATATCAGCCAATCAAATCGCTCATTGACTTACCTGGTAATTAACCAATCAGAACACACATCCCTCAGACAGAGGATCCACCAATGAGATTGGCAGATGTCATAAGATCCAATTGCATCTGCTGCTTTACCAGCCCCAATTCTATCACACACAGAACGGCAGGAGGCCATTCAGCCCCTTCCCCAGCCTGTTACACAGGG